GCCCAGGCCAGAATAGAGGTTGGTGTCCTGGGTGGCATGCCCACTTCTGAAGTTAGAGGATTAAAGAGGAAGGAGATAGAAAGACTGCATTTGGGAATTTTGATCTCAAATCTGAATGGGTCATTAGGTCTTCTTCCTCCGTACAGGCTGGTCACCCTGGGTCTTTGGATCTGTGGCATTGGCTGGCAGCTTCTTGGAGTGCCTTTCTGGCTGTTCTTCCTGGCTATGCTGCCAGTTGTGTGCATGTGTATGTGTGTGCATGCTTATTTTTCACGGTCTGTGGGCATCTTTTGCCTGAGTTGGCGGTCACTTGGAAAACTCATCTGCTGATGGTTACCCCTAAACATGGAAATAAAGGTTGTCCACTTCCAAGGAAACAGCCCCCTTGGAGTGTGTATCCATCATAACTCACTGAGGATATTGTTGAAGAGCCTTTATTCACTATGTAGAAGGTTCCATGTCCCTGTACTTCTCCCCAAATTCGGGGAGGTGGAAAGAATTGCTTGACCTGTCTCTAAGAAGGGAAGAGAGTGCCCAGGAGTGTGTGGGAAGCTGGGTTGGAGGAGGAAAGATTGGACATTCGGAAGATAGGATGAAAGTGTTGGGAACATGGATGGCAGAGGGAGTGTGTTTAGGCAGCCTTGAAAGGTGTCTGGGGCCTGCTAATCATGCTTTCTTTGTTTGGGGTTGAGATCTTCCCTCTCTCCCCTACCCTCTAAGTTGGCTTAAACTACCCCGTGTACACCTGCAAAAGGTAGACTTCCTTTTCAGGTGTGGCTTTGAGGTGCAGTCACAATTTTTCATTATTGTCGTTGGCAAGGGTGCTTTCAGCTGCTCAAAAGAGCAGATAGTCTCTCTCCTGTTCCAGGAAGCTTGTTTAGGATATGTTTCCTCTGGAAGAAGTTACTTTTAATGATGCTAATATTATGAAGAAATCCGACATGGAGAAAATCTCCGAGAGATGCTTAGGAGCAGCAGAGGCGCAGAAGGCAGCTGTTCCCTGAGCTCTGCATTTCCTGTTTGCTGTGCTCAGGGGACAGCAGCTGCCTGCTTCCACCCTGCCCCCCACCCCACAGCCTCGCCCTGGTGCCAGACCGTCTCTCCCTCCCTGAGTTATGGCCCAGACGTTCCTCATTGTGGTGAGAATATCAGACTCTGGGGGCTGCTACCCAGACATGCTGGCAGTTTCCAAATGGTGAAACAGTGCCAGCTATGCTTCTGCAAAGCTCACACAGGCAGCCCTGGGCTTCAATCATGGGTGCTATACAAATACTACAGGCTTCTGTTTGTTGTGCTCCTTGTGCATTTGATGGCCCAAGATGATTAATTTGAAACTTGAATAAATATTGCCTCATGGATTTTTTTCAAGGGTGCTAGGTGACTGCTTGAAAGGAGAGGCCAGAGGTTCTTTCCTCTAGACTGTCTTTGGGATTCAAGAACTGAGAGGAAATAGCGTTTTACTGAAGGCTGCCAACATGGTGGCTGCTCTGGGAGAGGTCATCTAGCATTTGGCTTCCCTGGAGAACCTTGAGTAGGCTGGCTCCGTTATTCACTCACTCTTGTCTCCAGGTATTTGTCAGGGCTCTGCTCCTCTCCTAAAGGATGGCCTTCAACTTTCAGGACCTTTGCACATGTGACTTTCATTACCCTTTGGTCTCTGTCCATCTCTAAATAGTTCATTTAGGTGAACATGAATAGTGTAAGGGAGAGAAAAAGAAGGAGTAAAAAAACACTTTCTCTGTGGTGGGTAAGTGTTTGATATTTCTTGATACCTGACTCCTTTACAGATATATTTTATTTACTAGGTCCTGGCTGGCCCTGCGAGGGTGGTGGTAATGGTTCTTTCTGGGCCAAAAGAATACTGGAAGACCTGCTGGTCCCATGGGCCCAGACGGCCACAGACGGGGGTCACCACTGTCTAGAGACGTGGAGAACAGCATAGCCATGAGAGTGCTGCTCAGACAGAGGATGGAAAACACCCTCCCATCTTTATTTTCTTCATTGTTTTATGTACTTTTGCTATTTTTCTGTTATTTATTTTGGTACTAGATGAAGCCTAGTGCCTCCCTCTGCTCTGCTTACTACATTGGCTGTAATGCTGATTTCCAATAAAAGTAATACGATCCAACCAGACTTCATCTTATTTTTCTTAAAAAAAGAAAGAGATTATTACCATATTTTTGACTTGGTGGAACAGCATGAATCCCATGATGTACATGTTTCTTATTATAACTTTTAAACCATCTAAACAAATGCCTTTTGAGTGATTTTTTATTATAATTTTATTCATTTGTCTAGAGCACATAGATCAATGAACCCCGTGGTGAATTTGATAGGAATTGGCTGACAGGACGGTTGGTGGCGTCTGAAGAACAAGCTTAGGCTCTTCTATCCCAGACTTGCATTTCTTAGCTCGTAATAATAGTGCTGGCTACTGGTTGTTGATCTTAACCTGGGTCCTGGCTACTCATATTTCATACAACATCACATTTGATCTTTATAGCAACTCGTGAAGTAGGCACTGTTATCATCTTCATTTAAATCATGTTGTTTTCCATGGCTCTAGAGGAGGTGTTGGCAAACTTTTTCTGCAAGATACCAGAAAGTAAATATTTTAGGCTTTTTGCACCACACTATCTCTGCTGCAACTACTCAGCTCTGCTGTTGTAACACCAGAGAAGCCATAAAAATACAACAACAAACAAAGGTGGCTGTGTTCCAATAGAACTTTACTTATGGACTCTGATATTCGAATTTTATAGAATTTTCTCATGTCGTGCAATATTCTTTTGATTTTTTTTGAACTATTAAATAATGTAAAAACATTCTTCACTTGCAGGCTGTTCAAAATCAGGTGGTGGGCCAGATTTTCCAACTCCGACATAGTTGATGGGAGACTGCGGGGAAGGAGGAATGGGTTAGGATGGGGTGGGAGGAAGAACACTCCTGCAGAGGGCACAGCATGTGTGCAGCTCACGGAGAACACGAAGCATTTGAGGAACTGCAAGGAGTGCAAGTGCACTTTGAGAGGGTACAGGCGAGATAAAAGGGAACAGCAAGGCCCAAGTCATGACTTTGTAGGACATTGTAAGGATTTTGGACTTTGTCCTTAGACTAATGGGAAGCCTAAAAGTCTTAAGCAGAGGAGTGAAAAGGGCAGTTTGTCTCTTAAAAGGTCACTGGCTGATGTGTGGAGAATGGATCACAATGGGTTCATAAGAGTAGAAGCAGAAAAACCAGGTAGGAGGCTGGAGAAGTGGGCCAGGTGGGTAATGATGGTATCTACTAGTGGCTGTAGCCAAAACCATTTCCTGACAGCGGCATCTTCACACAGTCAGGATGATCACTTTTGCAGATGAGGAAAATGTGGCTGGGAGAGATGAATGTCTTGCCCGGTCACATAGCAAATGGAGGTAGAGCAAAGATGAAGACCCTGGCCTTCCAACTTCACATCCAGTGCCTTTTCCTGCACAGTGTGAAATTCTTAACATTCTCAAACGGCAACTCTGTTTATCCTAATCCTCCACTGTCTCTGAACCCTACAACTGAAGAGCTACTCCCCTCTCTCACACAATTCTTTTTTCTGGAGGAAGTGCTCATAAATGAGGATAGTGCTTCATGCGTTTGAGTTGTTAATTTTCATTTCCTGAGGAAATTTACTTCATCGTTGAGTGAAATAATCTCTTGTTCAACTAATAGAAAGGCCAAAGATGATACTGTGGTAATGGTTTTATGTTATTTTTGTGCTGGCATTAGAAAGGTAGCTGAAAATTTACTTAAAGGTCAGCTTTTCTTAAAATTTGTGTAGCTTTCTTTCCCAAATGAGAATTGGTGCTTTCTCTTCTACCTTTGAGGAATGATTGGTCTGGCTGGGCGCTGAGAGTCAGACTCCAGTTCTGATGCCGGCATGCGTCTCTGGATCGGAGCACACCATCTTTTGAACGATGAGGCCGAGGGGTTGGGATCTGTTTCTGTGTGGTCCAGGACTGGGAATAGGGGAGAAGGGGAGAGGGAAAGGTGAGACTCATGCCTTGGGGCAGAGGGGTTGGTGGTGATTTTGTTTCAGCTTCCCTGGGGGTTGTGCCCTAGAGATGGCGCTGAGTGATACTGACCTGTGGTAGGTGGGTGAAGGGGAACTTCAGAAAGCTGTTGGTGGGTGGGACCCAGTGGTGGTGACTGCTCAGTGAATCTTGCTATTGGTTGGTATTTCATTCAAATTTCCCCTTATATTACTGTTATTTGTCAATTTGTATTCTTTCTCCAGTATAAGGGAAGGTCTGTGAGGTCCTGGGCTGTGTCTCAAGCATCTCCTTCTGTCCCACAATGTTCAGTGTCTTGCACATGGTAGATGCTCAGTTTTGAATACTGGCTCTATTCACTTGTCATCTTTGGCATCCATGCTGCACAGTGCAACTTCTTCTGTCAAAGAAATTAGAGTTTTTTAATCTAAAATCATCACAAAGAAGATATTTGGGACATCCTGGAAATAGGACAAATTTCAGGAACAAACGGTGTCCAAGATTTGGACTTTCATTGAGGATCTTCTCATATTATGTGATTTTTGTTGCTCACTTCTCTTTTCTCCACTCCATTTCATTAGAATAGATAGATGCTGAATAGATAGTTGCTCAATAGTTAGGTACTGAGCTAGTTCACTTCTGATACTGATTTTATTCGTTCTTTGTAGGCTCTTTACATACTCGTGCAGTTATCGGTGATGAGGCTGAAGTTGTAAGCTCACAGGTTTTGATGTATTCTCTCCCTCCTTCCCTTCCTTCTTTCATCAGTTATTGAAAGTTGATTACGTGGCAAGCACTGGGTTAAGTTCTGGGGACAACAACGAAAGAAGACATGGTGTCTGGTGTCAAATACATTCCAGTCTAGTGGAGAGATAAGAGAAAATAATGGCCACGTGGTAGGAGGCACGGGCAGCCAGTGAGGGCCTCTGCTGACCCAGCGGGTAGGACCCCCTGAGGCCTTTGCCTGCTGAGCTCCTGAATGTGGTCAAGAGCAGTTAGGGTTCCTGTGCAGTCTCGCATGGATTAACAGGCTCAGCTCGTGCCTTTCTCCATTTGTGCAGGGTGGAGATGTCTGCCCAGAGGTCAGTTTCCAACAGAACGTCCCAGCAATCTGCATCTAATTCTGACTACACCTGGGAATATGAGTATTATGAGATCGGACCAGTTTCCTTTGAAGGACTGAAGGCTCATAAATGTAAGTCTTATAGAATTCCCTGTTGTGAGTATAATATGTATTTGTCTAAACCTGTGAAATCCCCGGTGATTACTTTTCCTGAACATTCTATCTTTTTTACAGAACTCTGTCCTCTACCCCAAAACCCCAGAAAATACCCCCTCCAAACACAAGCTGATTGCTCAGGGATGGTGTTACATGAGGGCCTTGGTGATTCTGAGTGACAAAGAACATGAAAGATTCTCTTAGTGGGGGAATATAAATCAATGTCATTCTCAAATTGAGATATTTTTTAAAGCATTAACGATTCCAGCTCTCCCAAACAGTGTGAACATTTGGACGATAAAAAATGTGTGCAAAAATAAAATCTGGCACTATTATTTGAAGAACCTTCTTTTGTAACACTTGGTCAAGGGCATTCTTTCGGCCCCATTGGTTTTCTGGAGCTGTGGAGAGCAGTCTCTGTGTGTGTGTTCCTAGTGTTGGACAAGAGTAGCCTGCGATCATTCCTAACTCTGTTATAGGCCTGAATTGTGCTTCGTGTTGTTGGAGTGGTTAATGATCCAGCACAGAGCAAGGAAATATAGTTCTGTGAAAAGTTACTGTTCAACTCCAGTCATAACTGAATGCTGACTGGCCAACATGAAGCATCTTCGTTTTCTTAAGTACAGTTGATGTAGTAAACAAGAACTGCTGCCCACTCCCAGGTCCTGTCATGGTTTCCCCATGAGCACTCCAGAGATGTTTGGTTGTTTCAGAATGAACATCTGCAGTGTTACAGAAATTTTAGGTTAACTGATTCGGATTAATGGGACACATTAGGAAATATGAGAGAGATTAGAATTGGAGATGCAAATGTGGCAAAGGAAATGCTTTCACTCCTGTAGTATTTCCTGGCCACTGCCACTCTGACCTGTCTTGGCATTCATGATCCCTCACACCCACTTGCTGCTCCCCTGCGAGGAAGACTTTCTATTTTTTTTTTTCAGCTTTATTGAGGTATCATTGACAAATAAAATTGTAATATATTTAAAATGTACGAAGTGATGATTTGATATATGTGTACATTGTGGAAGAATTCCCCCCTTTCAGTTAGTTAACACATCCATCATCTCAGGTATTTCCCTTTATTTTATTTCTTTTGGTAAGAACATTTAAGTTGTACTCTCTTGCAAATTTCAATTATACCATACAATGTTATCAACTATACTCACCATGTTGTATGTTAGATCCTCAGAGCTTATTCATATTGTAACTGAAAGTTTGCACCCTTTTACCAAATTCTCCTTTTTCCCACACCCCCAGCCTTTGGCAGCTGCTTTTCTACTCTCTGTTTCTCTGTTTTATTTTTTTATTTTTTTAGATTCCACATATGAGTGATACCTTGGAGTATTTGTCTTTCTCGGTCTGGCTTATTTCATTTAGCATAATGCCCCCCAGGTTCATCCATGTTGTCATAAATGGCAGAATTTCTTTCTTCTTAAAGGCTGAATAATATTCTATTATCTATATGTCTGTCTCAGATGTTCTTGATCCATTCATCCATTGATGGACACTTAGGTTGTTTCCAGTTCTTTGCTATCATAAATAATGCTGCAGTGAACATGGGAGAATAGATATCTCTTCAAGATAATGGTTTCTTTTACTTTGGATATATATCCAGAATTAGGAACACTGGATCTTATGGCAGTTCTACTTTTAATTTCTTGAGGAACCTCCATGCTGTTTTCCATGTCTGTAACAGTTTACATTCCCACCAATAGCATGCAAGGGTTCCCTTTTCTACACATCCTCACCAGCATTTGTTACCCTCTTGTCTTTTTGATAATAGCCATTCTAACAAGTGTGAGGTGGTATCTCATTGTGGGTTTGATATGCATTTCTCTGACGATGAGTGATATTGTGAATCTTTTCATGTATTTGTTGGCCATTTGTCTGTTTTCTTTGGAAAAGTGTCTATATAGATCCTTTGCCCATTTATTAATTGGGTTTGTTTTTTGCTATTGAGTTGTATGAGTTCCTTGTATATTTTGGATATTAACCCCTTATCAGATATGTGGTTTGCAAATATTTTCTCCCATTCAATAAGTTGCCTTTTCATTTTGTTGATGGTTTCCTTTGTTATGCAGAAGCTTTTTAGTTGGATGTAGTCCCACTTGTTTATTTTTTCTTTTGTTGCCTTTGCTTTCGTGTCAAATCCAAAAAATCATCACCAAGATGGATTTCAGGGAGCTTACCCTCTGTGTTTATGACTGTTATTTTGAACTCTTTATCAGATAAATCACTTATCTCTATTTCATTAAGATCTGTTTCTGGAGATTCATCTTGTTTTTTTGTTTGTAACGTATTTCTCTATTTCTTCATTTTCCTTGATTCTTTGTGTCGATTTCTGTGCATTAGATAAAACAGCCACCAATCCCAGTCTTACAGAGTTCTCTCATGTAGGAGATGAACCTTGTCATTCAGCCTAGCCTGAGCTCCTAGTTGTCTCTCAAACTTTTTTTTTTTTTTTTTTGGTGAGGAAGATTGGCCCTGAGCTAACATCCATTGCCAATCTTCCTCTTTTTGCTGAGGAAGATTATCCCTGAGCTAACATCTGTGCCCATATTCTTCTATTTTGCCTGTGGGATGCCACCACAGTGTGGCTTGATGTGCGGTGCCTAGGTCCACACCCGGGATCTGAACCCACAAACCCTGGACTGCTGAAGCGGAGCATGCGACCTTAACCACTACACCATTGGGCTGGTCCCTCTCTCAAACTTTTATGATTGTCCAAACAACCTTCTTTTTTCCTAGTGGCTACCAGTAGTTGAGGATGTGTTAAGACCTGTCTGTGTCCCAAAAGTCAGGATCATGGCCAACACTGATGCAGTCTGATTAGAATCCGGAATCTCAGGCAGCAGCTGGGAAAGTATGTAGTTAAACCCCTTCCAGCCACACAGCGTATCTGCCCCGTCCACCAATGCACCTGAAACAGTCACGCACCACCATGTCGGGGGTCTGCCCTGCTCACCAATGTGCCTCAGACAGTCATACGCTGCTGGGCTGCACAGCCGGCCTGTGCCGGGGGCTTGCCTCATCCACCAGTGTGCCCAAGGCAGTTGTGCACTGCTGGAATGCACAGCCAGCTGCACTGGGGGCCTGCCCTGCCCACCAGTGAGCTAGCAGCAGTCATGTGCTGCCACCCCTGTAACCAGCCACACTGGGTGCCTGACTTGCTCACCAGCAAGCGCGCAGCAATTGTATGCCACCAGGCCTTGCAACCAGCCATGCTCAGGCATGCCCCACTCAACAGCATACCCACAGCAGCTGCACGTGGCTAGACCTTGCAACCAACTGGCCTGGGGGCCAGCCCCACCTATCTGAACACCCAAAAGAATCATGGCCCCACCACAGCAGAAGGGCACACACAGCCACACAGGGGACACCCCTGGAGCACTTGGCATGGGTGAAAAGAGAGGAGCACACTGCTGGGCCCCATAAGACATCACCTACGTAAGGCCAGTTTTCCAAGATCCGGAAATATAGCTGATCCACCTAATACATAGAAATAAGCACAGAGAAGTAGGAAAAATGAGGAGACAGAGGAATATGCTTCAAATAAAAGTACAGGCAAATCCTCAGAAAAAGAACTAAATGAAACAGAGATAATCTACCTGATAAAGAATACAAAGTCATGGTCATATGGATACTCTCTGAACTCAGGAGAAGAATAGATGAACACAGTGAAAACTTCAACAAAGAGTTAGAAGATATAAAAAAGAACCAATCAGAGCTGAAGAATACAATAATTGAAATGAAAAATTCACTAGAGGGAATCAACAGCAGAGTAGATGACACGGAACAGATCAGTGATCTGGATGACAGAGTAGAGGCTATCACCCAAGCTGAATGGAAAAAAGAAAACGAATTAAAAAAAACTGAGGAAAGTTTAAGGGACCTGTGGGACAATCTGAAGCTAACTAACATTTGCATTATAGTGCCCCAGAAGGAGAAGAGAGAGACAAAGTGGCAGAGAACTTATTTGAGGAAATAACAGCTTAAAACTTCCCTAACCTGGAGAATGAAATAGACATCCAGGTATAGAAAGAACAGAGAGTACTAAACAAGATGCACCCAAAGAGGCCCACACCAAGACACCTTATAATTAAAATGTCAAGCCTTAAAGATAAGAGAGAATCTTAAAAGCTTTAAGAGAAAAGCAATAAGTTATATACAAGGGAACTCCCATAAGACTATTAGCTGACTTCTTGGCAGAAACCATAAGAGCTAGAAGGGAGTGGCACAATATATTCAAAGTGCTGAAAGGAAAAAACCTACAACCAAGAATACTCTACTCAGCAAGGTTATCATTCAGAATGGAAGGAGAGATAAAGAGTTTTCCAGACAAGCAAAAAATAAAAGAGTTCATCACCACTAAACCTGCCTTACAAGAAATATTAAAGGGGACTTTTTTAAGTGGAAAAGAAGAGACCATAAATAGAAATAAGAAAATTATCAAAGATAAAGTATCACTGGTAAAGGCAAGTATATAGTAAAGGGCAACTACTTATAAAGCTAGTATGAAGGTCAAAAGACAAAAGTACTAAAAACATCTGTGTCTACAATAAGAGGTTAAGGGATGCACAAAAGTAAAAGAGGTAAACTATGATGTGAAACACATAAAACGTGGGGGAGGAGTAAAAATGTAGGACTTTTTGAATGTGGTCTAACTTAAGAGACCATCAACTTAATATAAACTGCTATATACATAGGTTGTTACATATGAACCTCATGGTAACCACAAACCAAAAAACTATAATAAATACACAAAAAATAAAGAGAAAGGAACCTAAACACAACACTAAAGAAAGTCATCAAATCACAAGGAAAGAGAGCAAGAGAAGAAGAAAGGAACAGAGAAGAACTACAGAAACATCCAGAAAACAAGTAACAAAATGGCAATAAGTATGTACCTATTAGTAATTACTTTAAATGTAAATGGACTAAAGGCTCCAATCAAAAGACAGGATGGCTGAATG